ATTTTAATCTATTATTTCTTTTAGCTTGTTATGAACACTTAGGTTTCACAAGTGACTTTCAAATTGGAAAAGTATAATAGATGACCTTTCAGTCCATCCTGAACCATTATCAATTTATAAATGATAATAGTTCAGGAAGGAGAGAAATGTTCAGTTTGCAGTGCCAAATGGCAGGTTAGTGGTGAACTATTCCAGGAATTCTACTGTGACTTTTATTCATGAAGCCTGAAGCAGTTTAAACCCTTTGTTGGGCAGGTCCTCATATATGACGACCTGCCCAATAAAACTCTTTAAACAACATACTAAAATAATGTAAAGCAAAATTCTTAAATTAATATAAAGCATTATGTTTATGACTGTTATTATGGGAGGTAAAATGACATATGTACAGTATAATAAGACCTTTACAGTACGATCTTGTATAGTACATGAGGCTTTATCAAGTACATGTTAAAGCCTCACGTAGATTAAATCTCTTATTAATAAAAGATCTTTTGTTTATTTGGCTTTTTTCTGCCACCCATCAGCTATGTCATACTTCAGCTATTTATTAAATATGTTTGAGTTACATCTTGAAAGTGTGTCCCCTCGAGTATAAAGGATAGGGAAGACAATACTCACTACTCGAAGGTTTCATCGTAGACAGCTGGGTCCTGCTTACGCTGCGTCCTCGTCTTGCGCTCACCAGCAGTAGGGAACCACTCCTGCGGCACCAGCTGCACCTTGATGTAGGAATCGACAGACTGGTTGTGATAAGCACCATGTGATCCCCCGCGGGAGCTGATGCTGCAGGTGTCACTCTCCACTACGATGTCTCGAGCCATGATCACCTCCACAATCAGCTTTCCAGGACGAGTGAATAACATCTAAAGGAAATATAACATATCAATAAAACATACATACATACATACAGAAACACACACACACACACACACATACACACACTGTATGGAAAGTAGAAAAGACTGCACAGAGTTATGAAATGTATGTTCTGGCTCACTAACAAAAACACACTACCAAACAGTTTAAATAACACGATCTAGGGAGAACAGAGTAAAGAGATGCTGCCTCGACCAGTAGCTGTAAGAGAGAGGTGGTTCTCCAGATACAACGCCGGGTGACTTGTACAGCTTAACACACGCCCAGCAATCAAACACATGAGCAGGTAGTTTGTAGCATGGGTAGCCAATCAAAACTCCTTTCCAATGAGCACTGTGGTCTATAGAGCAGTTGTTACATCCTACCTACATATTTTTTTTCTACAAGTCGGCCATCTCCCACCGAGGCAGGGTGACCCAAAAAGAAGGAAAATCCCCATAAAGAGAATACTTTCATCAACATTCAACACTTTTACCTCACTCATACATAATCACTGTCTTTGCAGAGGCAACCAGATACAACAGTTTAGAAGCATATATAAAGATATGTAATATATCCCTCCAAACTGCCAATATCCCAAACCCCTCCTTTAAAGTGCAGATATTGTACTTCCCATTTCCAGTACTCATCCGGCTATATAAAAATAACCAGTTTCCCTGAATCCCTTCACACTCCAACAGCTCGTCAGGTCCCAAAAACCATTCGTCTCCATTCACTCCTATCTAACACGTTCCCGCACGCTTGCTGGAAGTCCAAGCCCCTCGCCCACAAAACCTTCTTTACCCCCTCCCTCCATACACCCTACCTACATACCTAAGTAAATATAACGCAAGATATTTTCGTTCTAGATATTAACGAAAATATCACAAATATAATATTAGATAATATACTTTTTCCTACTCCTTGTGAAGCATATGAATTTATTTATATTAAAATGTTAATTACATTTCAGAAACCTTGAAATGTGTCGTATTGTTATTTATGAATTTTTTGGTATATTTCTGCTGTACATACAATGCTGTGATTAAAATTTGAATGGATTTAGAAGTAAGATATACTTCTTATTTATACATGTCCTGTCATTACTCTTGTAACACAAGTACACAACAAGTACGAGGGAACTGGAGAGACGCATGCATTAGCTCTGGACACTTTTACTGAAAGTGTTTCAGACCTTGGACCACGATCACTACAAGGTGATCAAGGTTCAAGGACCGAAACGTTTTCAGTAAAGATGTCCTAAGTGAATCCATTCGTCTCCATTTCCCTTAAATTGTGGGCAGTCATTCGCCTGCTTACTACACAAAAAGTGTGATCTTACCTTTGCAACAAGCTGAGCTTTGCATGGCAGAATGTCTTCCATCTGCTCTTCATAGCGTTCTTGGTAATACTTAGAGATAAGAGCCTCTGTAGACATTCTGAGGCTCTCTAGTAACTCCATGAGATCCGTGTATTCTGTTAACGAGAAGAGTTAAAGGATTAATGTGTGACTTTAATTCAGCTGCAGGTAAAAATATTTCACTTTCACAGACGAACGGTATGGCTCAGGTTAAAGTTTGTAGAGAAAAAGAAAAGGAATGGGGTTTTAAAAACAGAAGCAAGCATTAGAGTGTTAGTGAGAATCTGATATAAGTGTTGGTTAAGAATGTGATATGAAAGTAAGAAAGAACCCTTACGGTTGTTTGCTGATGATGCTCTTTTGGGAAGTTTCAGAAAAAAAGTTTTACACTGTAAAAGGGAAAATGGTGATGAAAGTACAAGTTTAAAGAATAAAATATTGGAGATTAGACAGGAAGGGAAGGGTACTGAGAATGTGAATTTGGCAAGATGCTTGTAAGTGATGCGCTGGTTAATGGGTCTATGACAGACGAAGTGAATCATACAATAAAACAAGGATACAAAGTAGCAGGTGTTGAGATATCTTCGGAAAGAAAAATGCTTGTTAATGGAAGCAAAAAGGAAAATGTATTCTTGTGGGATATTGTCTTTGAATGTTATATCGACGAGGCTGGAGATAGTGAAAATGCAGTCCGAGATCAATGTGCCATGTGAAAATTATGTAGTAAGTCGTGTTTCTGTCAATTATATTAATGTTAAATTGCTTACCAGGAGTTTCAGCTGCCTTCTCATCTAAGCCATTTCCATTATCTGGTGTGAAGAACTTCAGCGTTGCCTTCAGAATACTGTGTACTCCGCCAAAGTAATGTGCTCTTCTTCTCTGAAAGAATTATAACAAAACACTCTACAATAAAATCAAAGTTAAATCTGGTGTATGGATCACATGCATTATGCTTTAAACCACAATTCTTCAAGATGAATATTTTTAAGATTTTTACCTCAGTACTTTTCTTAACAGTCTCGTGGAAGATTTCAATAACAGTTTCCCACACGCGCCACATGAACCTGTTGAAGTTAGATGAGTGAAGGTGAGCACGGAGAAGCCCCATGGCAGGGTCCAGCATCTCCTCCAGGAATGGTGCTGCACTCTGCACATCACAAGCCTCATTCACTGCCTTGTCCAGCGTTGGTCTCATCTGCTCGAGAAAGGTGCCATCAAAGGTACATCCACTATATAAAGGTATATTTACTACATAAAGATACCTCCAGTACATACAGATACTTCCACTACATACAAGAACAAAACACTGCAAGGATAACTACAGCTGCATTTATGAGGAACACTTCAATGACGAAATCAGTAACACATCCAACTATATTGAAATTAACTACAGTGAAAGGAAAAACATATTTCAAGTACGTTCATGTGTCTTAAGAATGTCATTGATGCAATACAAAAATGATTCGATTTTTTTTCTCTTTCTTGGGGGTTAATTTGCCTATTAAAGTATTTCATGTTTCAAATTGTTTTGTGGCATGTATACACATTCTTCATCTCAGGGCCAATAAATAACATCTATGCGGTCTCATCAATAGCCTACCCTTTCTATCACGGTCTCGATAAATTCGTTGACTTTAGTTTCCATATTTTCCGCTGCGTTGAAGATTAGTCTCTCAACGGTGGACTCAAGTTGGGCTGCGGCTCCATTGCCACTCCCGGTGTTTTTAATATCCTCCAGCAGAGAATCGAAGCCGAAGTGGCTAGGAAGACCAGTGAGTTCCCTTCTTACTCGTTCGATGTTGTTAAGCCCTATGCAGATCTGAGGAGGAAAAAAAATATGTTTCTTAATATAAAAGCAAAAAGGCAATCAAGGCAGTTTAACATACACAAAAGAAGGCTTTAGTTTGTGGGCGAAATATATAGTGTTCATGCTGTGTTTGTTGTGTCTGTCACCCTGTGAGGACCTTAGCGTTGCTATCAACTCTTGTTTAATTGCACTGTAAGTGAAATTTTAATTAATATCCTTGAACAAATGGGTTTTTAAAATGATGAGTTAGTTTCTTTGTGTTATGCATTAATAAATTATTTATATAACTGCCACGTATCTTTGCTAATGAAATTGAAGCAATCCACTTTACTAGTTTTTTCCAATATATTCCAACAGTGGCTGTATAGTAATAAATTTTTGAGCAATTTTCATTCTCGTAAATTCACAAAAATAAAGTGCCTAAAATTATTTAATAAAAAGAGAAGCAAACAAAGACATTTGCAAACGTGGAGTAAATTATTAAATTCAAATTAAAGCGCTTAAATCTTAAGGGTCATAGCGGATGTGCCATAAAAATGTTATATCAAATTACTTTCGGAAGCAGGGAATGATGGTGTACCTGCGGGGTGATGAAGATGCGACTGGAATTGTCTTGTCTACAGTACATAGAGTCCACTTTATTCCTGAGGAGGTCAGAGTAGGTTATCCCACAAGAGCAGATATCTTCGAGCATCTTAGCCAGCAGGAGGGCACTGTTCTCTGGGTCCGGCCACGCCAGCTTCAACCACCACACCTTCACCTGCGTAACAAACAAGATATAACGTGTGGAAAAACGTCTCTTTCTCTCTCTGTTAGTTAATCCACCATTTAAATCAAAGAAAGTCGATATAATGATTATATAACACACATACACGGGGCCAGGAGCTGACTCTGCAACCACAAATAGGTGAGTATACACACACAAGTTGTGTGTGAGGTATATCAAGATAAAGAATCCAATATTGTGCATATGAACTTCAATAAAGCCTTCACAGAGTTCCGCACAGGAGACTGATTAAAAAAGTAGCGGCACATATGTAGGAGAACAGAAACATATACTTACACCATGAAATATATCAATGGTATCAGTTGCTGAGGAACTGAAGTTGCAAAAGGCATCCACAGGCTCGAAACGGTCCAGATCAACGGCCCTTCTGATGAGATCCAGTGCGCGACAGACGGCCAGTTCCAGCCACCTCATTACCCCTCGTGAGAACCATCTGTGGTACTCCCGAACACCTGAGTCTACTCGAACCTCAGCAGGCAGTGACTCACCCAACCTGTAGCCAATCAGAAAAAAAAAAAAGTTTTAGGCATTCCTTGATTCTACTGTCCACATGGAGGTTATGGGTGCAAAATAAACCAGCCATTTTCGGCGGCAAAATTTTCAGTTGTACATTTGGCTTAAAGCCTAATTGACTACACTGGGATTAAGACTGAATCTCACCTGTACACCCACCAGTCAAGGATATTTTATTCTAATCCCTAAAACACTGAATAAGGTGAACTCGGTGTACATACACTGAGACATATACCTCTTTGTGTATATACTCCTGAGCATTCCTACTAGGCATTTACTAATAGATAAAGGAATAAATACTGTATTTACACTTATATACATGCACCTCCAATGTTAAATAAATATTCAATGTTTAATAGTCTTATCATCTGGAGGAACATTTATAACGATGTGGAGAAAATCGGGTTAAGATCAGTGATTTTTATTTTAGTTGAATTTATAAGCGAAGGCTCATTTACAGGCAAAAATATGTTATCCTGCCTTAGATCATTTAATGGCTAGGAGCTGTTATCCTGCTTCAGCTCATTTAAAGGCTGAGCTGTTATCCTACCTCAGTTCATTTATACTAATAGGATGAGTTTTTATCCTACCTCACCTAATCGTAAAGCCTGGCCCTATCTCGAGTATACTGTCATCCCATAGAATGCTACCCACGACTGTCATCAAACACTCAGGTACCTATTTCCTGCTGGGTAGTCAGGGACTATCCAGCAGCTAGGGAATGATCCCGGGACCGTCGGTAGTGGTAGTCCCACTAAGCTATCATTTCAAAGTTTGACAGGATGTAGAGGCATCTGGCAGTAATGGACGGGAAAGAATAATGCAGATAAAAGAAACAACATCCGTTATGTGGGTTTGTGGCGCTGGAGAAAGTTATGAAAATTCACCCAAATGAGAACTTACTTGTGCAAGAGACTAAGATTTCTGTAGAGCTGCCACAGGGACGTGCCCACTTCCAGGGCATACTGGGAGTTATCACAAGCTTCCTGCATGGGTGGCATGCGGTTGTAAATGTTAAGAACTAGTGGTCGCACACAAGGGTTTACTCTCTTGCTCACCACTAAGTACGTTGTCTGCATGTACGGGATGTTCATCTCCCTAGGGGAAGAAATTATCTTTCGTCAGCGGATACATAATCCTGCAAAGGATGTTATATCGACAATGCAGCGCGGTATTATTATTATTATTATTATAATCAAGGGGGAGCGCTAAACCCGCAGGATTATGCAGCGCCTGTGGGGGGGGAGGGGATGTGGATGGTATTCCAAGATTAATTCAGGGAACCGGAGCACAGATCCAATTCCCTAGATCAACATCAAGGAACCTTCCTTGAGGTGTGCAGCGCGGTAGATTATCAAGCCTACTACCTCTTTTTTTTTTAACGTACACTGTTTTGTACGATTTTATATGTTTGCCAAAAGTTTCGTGCCAGACACGCACGTATGTTTTTCAATGAAATCACCACCTTTAACCCCCCATACCTATGAAGTTGTCTGCACCAGTAGTTCATTTACGTTATATTTGCTGTTACAGTGTAAATTCCTCTGTAGTGGTTTAGTAGTGTTTTTTTACTGTAAATATATGTAGTTAACTATGATAGTATCGCCATATTTAATACCTGTCAGTCGACTCACAAACTGTTATATTATTGGTAACATGCACCTTATTAAACATTATATTATTTTGAAAGTTGATGCAGTTTTTCATTTAGATTATCTAGTGATGTATTTTAGAGAGAAATAATGTTTGTTCCAGAATGTTCGTTTTACTTCAGTGTCGAAGAGTGACATTATTTTCATTTATGATCTGACCAAGTTAAGTGTTGAAGTCTAAGTGATTGTAAACCTGTATCTCAAAAAATCACTTACCATATACTGAGCAATAAACCTTATTATTATTATTATTATTATTAAAGATTAGCAGGTATTCTCCCGGCCCGGGCCTTTTCCAAGTGGTGGCCCGGCCTTGGCTCCCTCTTTAGGGAGTGTCTGAGACCTAAGTCTCCCATGGGAAGAGGCACAAGTACCTCCTCATCTGTAGGACCAACTGTCCCCAGGCCTAGCCACAAGCTAGGCCTCTCTGGTCTACCATCCCCACCCCAAAGGGGCTAATGGGAATGACAGTCTTATGAGCTAAAGGCTCGGGCTCAGGCACCTACCCTACCCTAGAAGGGTTAGGCATGGTGTCGATCCAATAAACCTGTTAAGTGACAGAGGTGGCAACTTGTTTAAAGCTGCTGCTACCGTCTTAAGAATTAGTATACTATATTGCCTTCTCATCTTTCATTTTTAATTCATTTATTTTTTCACTGCTTATGCATTATCCTCTCTAATTTTTTCATTATTTCTTTGTTTCACGTAACCCTTAGACGGACACAATATAAAAAGACTGAGAGTAGGTAATTACGGGTTCCCGAGTCGTTGTTATTATATTCAGGGGGAATTATTATATTCAGGAGGAATTATTATATTCAGGGGTATTATTATATTCAGGGAGAATTATTATATTCAGGGAGAATTATTATATTCAGGGGGAATTATTATATTCAAGGGGAATTATTATATTCAAGGGGAATTATTGTATTCTGGAGAAATTATTATATTCAAGGGGTATTATTATATTCAGGAGGAATTATTATATTCAGGGGGAATTATTATATTCAGGGGGTGATCGACACCATGCCTAGCCCTTCTAGGGTAGGGTAGGTGCCTGAGCCCGAGCTTACAGCTCAAAAGCCTGTCATTCCCATTAACCCCCTTGGGGCGGGGATGGTAGACCAGAGAGGCCTAGCTTGTGGCTAGGCCTGGGGACAGTTGGTCCCGAAGATGAGGAGGTACTTGTGCCTCCTCCCATGGGAGGCTTAGGTCTCGGACACTCCCTAAAGAGGGAGCCAAGGCCGGGCCACCACCTGGAAAAGGCCCGGGCCGGGAGAATACCGGCTAATCTTTAATAATAATAATAATAATTCAGGGGGTATTTTTATATGTACAAGAGACCTACAGTGTTTGGGAAAACCTCAGTCAGGTTTAATCCAAGGGAAGGAAAGCTCTAAACTTCGAGACAAGAGCTCTTCACCAGCATCAAGCTCTAAACCAGTACGGGTTATTCAGCGCACGCGCACGCATAGAGGAAAGGTGGAGCAAATAATTCTTAACTGTTGTGGATATCGTTACTGACTACACACTGGTCTTTTCAAGTCAGATGTCTCGATAAAACTCTGTATCTAAGAGTCATTACTCTACAATATGAGTACTGAACGTTTTCACTGAACATTTTGGCTCTCTTCAGTCTGCTGAAGAGGGCCTCAAAGGAAGAATATGTCAAATGCTCGTCTTTTGTTGTCTCGCTGTGTGTTCTCTTATGTCAATATATACCATAACATAATGTAGGCTTTATACGCCGTCCTCACTTTAAGAAGATGCTGTTGTAGAAGTTGGCAGCGTGAGTGAGGAAGGTGTTGGACTCAGCAACAATGTTGATGACTCCTGCGATCTGCTCGTCCGAGGTCCTCTTCGCAGAAAGTTGTTCCTCAACCATTGTCTTCCACCTGGCACCATACACACATCACGTGTTAGCAGCTAAAGTAAGTTTTGCTCTTAATATCTACAAGATGTGTAATATTTTGCAATATCTCTAGACGTTATGAAAAATCTTTTGTTGTTAAAGTTCATCGAATGCACCTGGGTCATTTAACGAGGAATTCACTCCACACTAAAAATGCTGTCAACCTAAAACAAAAAATCAGTGACACCACACACACACACACACACCATGGCCTACACACACACACACACACACACATGCCTAGCACACACACACACACACACACACACACACACCACGACATGTGCCATGACACAACACACACACACACACCACCACACACACACACACACACACACACACCCCAGACATGTGGCCACTACGACACACACACACACACAGCCAGACACACCACAACACACACACACACCACACACACACACACACACACACACACACACACACACACACACACACACAAGAAATTAGAGAAAGTATAAACGTTTGCAACAAGGCTAGTTCCGGAGCTCATGGGTATGTCCTACGAAGAAAGGTTGAGGGAAATCGGACTGACGACACTGGAGGACAGGAGGGTCAGGGGAGACATGATAACGACATACAAAATACTGCGTGGAATAGATAAGGTGGACAGAGCAGGATGTTCCAGAGAGGGGAGACAGAAACAAGGGGTCACAATTGGAAGCTGAAGATTCAGATGAGTCACAGGGAGTGTTTCTTCAGTCATAGAGTCGTCAGGAAGTGGAATAGCCTAGCAAGTGATGTAGTGGAGGCAGGAACCATACATAGCTTTAAGACGAGGTATGACAAAGCTCAGGAAGCAGAGAGAGAGAGAAAGAGACAGAGAGGGCCTAGTAGCGATTAGTGAAGAGGCGGGACGAGGAGCTGAGTATCGACCCCTGCAACCACAATTAGGTGAGTACACACACACACACTAAAGGCTAAATAAAGACTTTCGGTGAATACATCCTCTAACCCTGTATTTTAAAGAGAATTCTTTCGAAAATATATTTTTTTCCTGATTATTTCTAGAAATACAGAAAAACCAACACTAATGCATAGTTTTACTACAAGAAATAAATTCGCTTTCGTAGTTAGTGAAAGGAACTATTTCGATTTTAACATGTCCCACCAGGTGAACATGACTTGGACTCACCAGGTCTTGGTGTGAGTTGCGAGGCTGGAGGTGACTAACTCGTGTAGGTGAGGAAGCTCCATCTCATCCAGCAGTGCTCGGCTTTCACTGTGGTTCTGCATACTGTGCAAAGCCCTGAAATTCATATCAACACTAAATAAAAGCTTATCACTAATTTACTTCTTTTAAAAAAGTCCTCAATACAAAACTGAGTGATCCTGATAATAGCAAACGAGGTTTGCACAGTATAAAATAATAATAATAATAATAATAATAATAATAATAATAATAATAATAATAATAATTGAAATCTTGTGGAACCAATGAAATGCCATGCTGTCTGACTTCATACAAGCTAAATCTACGTAAAAATATATATGCCAATAACATATGTGTGCTTTCAAGGTAAATGTTAAGAAAAGCTATATGTTAGGCAATACCTAAATAAAAGTTTAATTGCAACCAGCACTTAGTTGCAAATGTTTTCTTAGCAGTTCTGAAATATTACTAATTATTGCTCACTTTATTGTGTAGGTGAGCTGATGTTTGGCCAAAACTCCGGACGATGGTGGAAATGAGGCGTGCAGGTCTTTGATACGTTCAGCACTGGCTCTCACGAAGCTTGAGAAAGACAACCGCAGATCATCGAGGTCTTTGCCTTGGTAAGCACTCTTGGCCAGGGCTGCCTGCACCCGGTGAAGCTGGGATAGGCTCCAGGCAGCATCCACCGTGGAAACACGGCTGCCCACCAACCACCTCGATAACTGGATCGTTTCATCGTTAAAGCCCAACATTATGGCGTACTGAGCCAAGGCTGCAGTTGCACTGCCACTGAGTACACCATTCCAAGGTGACACCCACTCGTCCCCTGAAGGACCACAGAAACGAAACGTATGACATAACTGTTGAATAAATACGACATTAGTATCGTTTTCTTCACATGGAAGCCCCATTACTTTAGGGGTGATACAGAACTTGAGGAATGAGAGATAATCTGGTGTAATTCAAAGAAAGAGAGAAACCTTCCAATTCCTTGGATCAAAGAGACTTTCATCGGCATAAAGGAACTATACTCATTCCTCCCCTACTTCCCTGAACGGTCGAGTCCAGTAGATATGTCCCGTCTAAAATATTTTAACAGATTCGCTGATTATTATTAAAGATTCGCCGGTATTCTCCCGGCCCGGGCCTTTTCCAAGTGGTGGCCCGGCCTTGGCTCCCTGTCTTGGAAGTGTCTGAGACCTAAGTCTTCCATGGGAGGAGGCACGAATACCTCCTCATCTTTGGGACCAACTGTCCCCAGGCCAAGCCACAAGCTAGGCCTTCTGGTCTGCCATCCCCGCCCAAGGGGGCTAATGGGAATGACAGGCTTGTGAGCTGCAAGCTCCGGCTCAGGCACCTACCCTACCCTAGAAGGGCTGGGCATGGTGTCGATCCCGATTCGCTGAAATATTTTACCCATATTTATGACAAAGAGAGGAATTTGTCGTCTTGCATAGAAGAACGAAAAGGATTTGTCTTTTTTCATTAAATTTTCAATTAACAACTCAGTTACACGACTTATTTTATATTTGTAAAATGATGCAATAAACTACTTGTAGGGCTTGTTAATTCATGTAAAATAATTAAAAACTAATACAAGCTCATCCCAGACCAAAGTATTATAAAGTAATTCACTTTCTTACTTAGTAGAAGCTCACCTCTTTGTTTGTAGCTGTGTTCACATGATGGTGAACAAGACGAGCCAACAATGAATCATAAGACTGTCGAGTTTTGTTCTCAAGATGAGCTGTGGAGGAGACAGAGCCTACAAGATGTAAGCTTCCTCGATCCTTAGCAACCTCTCCCTCGCTCTTCTTCTCTAAGGGATACCATCCGTTGAGGCCCCGCTCACTCACATCCTGAGTTAACAGTAACACAAATAAGATTATTTCAGTTATCCTTGACTGGTAGTGGACAGGTTACATACAGCTTAGTGTCCTGGATAAGCTTTATTAAACCCAACTAACCAACGTACTAATTGACAGATAAGTTAAAATTAAAAAAAAAAAATAAGTGCATCTCCCTCGAAATACCGAGAGCAATGTGTATCATGGAAGAAAATTCTCAGTATTTGTTCTCGTAGCCAAATTTACACTAGAGGATGTGACATCTTGCTTGTGAGAACACGTGTGTCTTTCAGAGTTGCTGGTCCTCGCATCTTATTTCTGTCAAGGGATTCCAGCCTCTATGAACAGGATGTGAAGATCACTGATCTTGATTTTCGCTCTTATGATTCTGCATGGTAACACTTCCACGTAAATAGAATGAAGGGGGGATCTACAGTTAGTTTAATAGGGCAGCATAAAAGTCAGTACAGAGGAATAAATTTTCAGTCGAGTGGCCTGGCTAGGCTGATGGAGTGGAAACTGTAGATTCTGAACGCTTATTATTTGGTGAATAGAATAGTCTGGTTGCTTTGTATTATCTCCACCTTCTAGTAATACTTTCATTTATGTGTCACTGGGTGTACTGTAATATTATAACTAGCATAAACATTCGTACTAAACAGTTTAATTTTATGTGTGTATAGATCTGTATTCTATTTATAAGTAAATATTTGTATTGTTAGTCCCGAGTGATTATCCCTTCACTCCTTGTATAACCTCATTCACCCCTGGCGTGTATTTTGTGTATTATCTTTATATACCTATTTAGAATGTGAGGGAGCTTGCCCCATACGTATGGTAATTAGGTACCCAGCAGACGAAGGTAATTCTGGTTAGCCTAGGAGACCCACTCCTGCTTTTAAATGTTCTAAGTACAGGGATTCTCAACTTTTCCTCCATCATTAACTCCCTCGGCTTGATGTATTTCTTCATTTACGCCCTCACTTCCATACAAAAAATTTATCGCCATCATAAACGGACAGGAAAACGAGGTCAGAAAAAAATAAATTATTCAGGTTTTGCACGAAAATAACAATATACATTCGCAATACACACACACACACACACACACACACACACACACACACACACACACACACACACACACACACACACACACACACACACACACACACACATACACACACACACGCACACGCACTCACACGCACACGCACTCACGCACACGCACCCACACGCACACGCACTCACACGCACACGCACACACGCACGCACGCACACACGCACACGCACACACACACGCACACACACACATTTTACAAAATGAAATTTAATTGAATTATTATTCAATTATCAGGTACATCAAATATTTACCCCTTACCATGTAATTTTTTACCCCCAAGGAGTAAATTTACCCCTGGTTGAGAATTAATGTTAGTTACAGTTAAGTGAGAGCGTGAGGAAAGATTTTTCCCAGCTCTTATTATCTTTTATTAGTAGTATCATATAGTGCTGACCTATGATGTTATACGGTATATTGTGGGTCAGAAGTGGAGGCTTCTAACTGGCGAGATACCCAAGGTAGACCCCATACATGTTCCTACTGCAACCCCTGAAGAGACACTGGCAACGGTGTGAAAGGCCAAGAGTTAGTACTGGCCAAGAGTTAGTACTTTCCATACCCTAGTGGTCGTTTTGTACTGTTTTTATAGCTTGTCGGCAATTGTGTGTGTGCATATATATATGGGATTAAATAATTTTTGACTTTCGGTCTACAGGTGAGATGTAGCCTTAATGATCCTTGTAGAGTAACTAATGAATAACAAAAGATCACTGTAAGACCTAGTTTTAGTACTTAAGAAATTTGACGAAGACATACAGAGGACCATGATGTGCGCGTGTGATAGAAAGAATACTATGGTCTGAGTTTGTGATAGGCAAAGGGGCATGATGTATCCTCAACTGACCTTGATGTTGATCTGGACCTGACCGAGGAGATGCGAGGCTTGGTGTTGAGCCTGGGCTGTGGTGCCTTTAACCAGTCGACCGAAGGCTCTGATGTCCCTCACCGCCGTCAGCTGTTTCACACCCACGGAGTCGTGTTCGTGCCTGAACATGAGCATAAACACGTTACGCTAAGAAAATTGCATGATTACAAATGTTTAAAAACTTTCTTCTTAACAACACTAGATGCAACGATAATGTGCAGCTGCTATGTTCTACTGTATATGGCAGTTATATTGAGGGAACACCAGCAGTGCACACTTTTCCTATTCTGTATGAGTATAGCATGGTGGGAATACCTGTGGTGTGCGCTACCTGATTCCATACGTGAGTTACATTGTAAGAATACCGTAATGTGTGACTTCCGTTTTCTATATGCGGGTTACATAGGGAAATACCCGCAGTGTACGACTACCCAATTCTAAATCAAGGATTTTATGGTGTAAATACCCGCTGTATGCGGCTAATGTATTTTGTATTATAGTCACGTTATGGGGATGGCCGTAGTGTATGCCGGAACGAATTACACTGTCAGTACAAATGCTAGCTATATTTACAAAGGAAACGTAATGGATGAGTGTAACTAAAAATAATTATACATTTTTTTCCTTGGTTTGTCTGTGTCCAGTACTAGAAGTAATATTAGAAGAAAAATAAATAATGTATCCGAATGTCAAAGAAATACAGTTTGGACCCTGAGAAAGGTGCATATGGTACGGTGATACCAACAACTTACTGGTACAAGACATGAGTGCACTGGTCAAGATATTTATTAAAGAAACAAGTGACTTCTTCATTTCTAAAACAATGACCTTTGTGGTGTTCCATGGCGCAGTGATATATCCAGTGGCGATGTTAATGTTGTGTATCAATCGTTTAACCAAGATTCTGGCCTTTTCATATGTCCGTCTGTCACATGTTAAGGATGCGCATGACTTTCTGCAGTCGTTGGTGTAGTGTAGAGGGAAGTGAAACTGTAGGAAGGCCTGTTTAAGATCTCCACATTCTTGCAAGTATTGTAGGCAGATCCTAATAGCCCCATTAAAATCACAACGCCTCTCATTACCTGCTGTCATGATGGGAGTAAATGTACTAAATCATTCATGTATGTGGCTTCCTGTAGACTTGGACTGAAGATGCCATTTACTGTGAAACACTTCCTTAATGAATGACGTGACCAGTGCATACGTGTCTTTTACCTAACAAGCCTGAGAAGATCTATAACTCGCTATAATAAGATGAACGTCGAGAAGCACATTTGCGACAGACATGCTGATGTCGTAGCCAGGCTCTAGCTTAGTTACAAGTATTTTTGTTAAGTTTGGCGGGCGCACAGATGATAATCAAGCTAAATGAAAAGTATGTGGTCATCCTTATGATTACTTTCTTAAAAACAATATGCTTGATTGTCTACTTACTGAGAAATAACCTACGTGATATGTCAAAATATCTTTCTAATGAAAATATGATACCAGGCATTTTTAACAAATGTCATAAATCTACTTATAACAGATGAAATATAAATTATAGATACATGTGTTTAAATGTACTCATGGTAACCCTTTTTGGGGTCTACTTCCTAGGTGTTTAGTGCTTCTATATGTTCACGTGCGTCCATCCACAGGATGGACATGGGGTGCAGAATAAACCATCCGTTTTTGAGGCAAAATTTAATCCAAGTTAGTCTATCTTATTTAAGTTCAAATATGGTATCTCTCTCTCCCCTCTCTCCCCTCTTCTCTCCTCTCTCTTCTCTCTCTCTCTCTCCTCTCTCTCTCTTCTCTCACTTTAAAGTTCAAAAGTTTTTATCTCAAAATTTAACCAAGATTATGATTTTTTCCAATCATACATCATTTTCGGGTGTAGGACGTTTTTTCTGAAAATTTTTTACTCGTCTGGAAAGAAAATTTAAAGAAGCTGTTATAAAACTGGAGCTAAAAGGGAGGGTTATAATACTTTTTTTTCAATTTTTTTTGGTATTTGATGGAATATTTTGCTTATAACACTGTGATGAATCAAAAAAGAAATAATGAATGTAGAAGATGCCCCGTCTAATGAATGATAAACAAAATGCTGAATGTGTGCTTAATAGTGAACAATAAAGGAGTAAAGATGCTGGTACCAAAAGATGAAGTTTTTGGTTCCCCCTGGGATGAGGTGTCCCTCTCCCCTCGTTCTGTGCGACTCTCCAAATTTGGAATGGCTATGGTTACATAGAAGGGTTTGTTCTGACGGGAGAGTAAAACAAAAAAATTAAAAACATAGTAGAGTTTAAGGAATTAAAGCGAAGTGAAAGTTAATTCTTTTAAAAAAAAATCGTTTTTTTTTACTGAAAGGCCCGCGATGAATTAAATTGGGAAAAAAAGGTTTGAAAAAGAAACATTATACTGATTCAAATTACCCCACATATTAAAAATGGAAAACAGACAATGTTTCAGACCTTGTAAATAATTTTCTAGAATTCCCAAATGAAAAAATTTTTCCAGGGGGGGAAAAAAAGAAAATGTATAATTTCAAATATATAGGTACCTGTAAAATCTCAAAATATGAGGTTTTTGAAGAAATGATAAGTTTTTTAAGTAATGCATGAAGTTATTAAAGTAATGCTGAATTTTGTTGAAGTAATGATAAAGTTATTAAAGTAATTTGAATTTTTAAAAAAAAAATAAGCATGAAGTTGCTGAATATGCATGAAGTTGATGAAGTAATGCACGAATTGTTGATGTAATGCCTGAAGTGCTTTAAATAATGCATGAGAGCAAAGTGGGGAGAAACTACAATCTTCCTTTAAAAGTTTTTTGGTGTAGATCATTTTTTCTTTGACACTTAGGTGGAGGTTTTACCTCAGGGCCCACAGGGAGGGAAAGTACCATCACTACATGGCAAAAAATGAAAACCGGAAAATTTTAAATTCCCGCATAAGATTATTAAGGTTGTATGTGGCCTTTCCCACCCGCAATCACCACCAGTCAACCCTATTTTGGGAGTTAAAGTATTTGCTTGACTGTGGTGAGTAGGGCACGTTCAGCCTGAAAAGACCCCCGTGTAATTTATAGGGGTTTTAAACCCCTTAACCCAAAAACTACGTTATAAGGCTTAAAGGTAATAAAACTGAAAGTTTTTTTGAGCCAGGGATTTACGGGCAAATCCCCGGACCAACAAACCAGGATGAGTTCCAAACATTAATGCGTTCCGTGTTACACCACACACAACACAATGATACTCACAGGCTTTCCCCTTTTAATTTCCTGAGTGAGACTTTTTTGCCCCCCTCATTGACCTGAAAGGTTCTTGAAAACGGCGGACCCGGTGAGGGAGACCTGGGGCGGTTGAAGAGTCTGCAGCGGTCTGGCTACAGGTTGCGGCTGCGGCGGTGACCGCAGGCCCACCTACCGCCCACACACCCTCACCCGAGCACCCCTCAGGAAGTGGACTGAGTACAGAACATCGGTCAGCAGCTCTTCTGTCTGTTGGTGAGCAAGAAAAAATTAGATTTAGATTCCTTATTTCCAATCACTGCATTTACAAAATATACAAAGAGGTAATACATAAGGAGAGAAGAGGAGAGAGAGAGAGAGAGAGAGGAGAGAGAGAGAGAGAGAGAGAGAGAGAAGAGAGAGAGAGGGGGAGAGAAGAGAGAGAGAGAGAGAGAGAGAGAGAGAGAGAGAGAGAGAGAGAGAGAACTTAGTTTCCTGTCAGCTAGGGATTCCCCAGGGCTTGATTTCAAGTTTCAACTGTAGTATTTATGTGTGTGTGTGTGTGTGTGTGTGTGTGTGTGTGTGTGTGTGTGTGTGTGTGTGTGTGTGTGTGTGTGTGTGTGTGTGTGTGTGTGTGTGTACTACCTCACCTAGTTGTACTCACCTAGTTGAGGTTGGGGGGGTCGATTCCGAGCTCCTGGCCCCGCCTCTTCACTGATCGCTACTAGGTCACTCTCCCTGAACCGTGAGCTTTATCATACCTCTGCTTAAAGCTATGTATGGATCCTGCCTCCACTACATCACTTCCCAAACTATTCCATTACTGACTACTCTGTGGCTGAAGAAATACTTCCTAACATCCCTGTGATTCATCTGTGTCTTCAAACTTCCAACTGTGTCCCCTGGTTACTGTGTCCAATCTCTGGAACATCCTGTCTTTGTCCACCTTGTCAATTCCTCTCAGTATTTTGTATGTCGTTATCATGTCCCCCCTATCTCTCCTGTCCTCCAGTGTCGTCAGGTTGATTTCCCTTAACCTCTCCTCGTAGGACATACCTCTTAGCTCTGGGACTAGTCTTGTTGCAAACCTTTGCACTTTCTCTAGTTTCTTCACGTGCTTGGCTAGGTGTGGTTCCAAACTGGTGCCGCATACTCCAATATGGGCCAACGTACACGGTGTACAGGGTCCTGAACGATTCCTTATTAAGATGTCGGAATGCTGTTCTGAGGTTTGCTAGGCGCCCATATGCTGCAGCAGTTATTTGATTGATGTGCGCTTCAGGAGATGTGCCTGGTGTTATACTCACCCCAAGATCTTTTTCCTCGAGTGAGGTTTGTAGTCTCTGGCCCCCTAGACTGTACTCCGTCTGCGGTCTTCTTTGCCCTTCCCCAATCTTCATGACTTTGCACTTGGTGGGATTGAACTCCAGGAGCCAATTGCTGGACCAGGTCTGCAGCCTGTCCAGATCCCTTTGTAGTTCTGCCTGGTCTTCGATCGAGTGAATTCTTCTCATCAACTTCACGTCATCTGCAAACAGTGACACCTCAGAGTTTATTCCTTCTGTCATGTCGTTCACAAATACCAGAAACAGCACTGGTCCTAGGACTGACCCCTGTGGGACCCCGATGGTCACAGGTGCCCACTCTGACACCTCGCCACGTACCATTACTCGCTGCTGTCTTCCTGACAAATATTCCCTGATCCATTGTAGTGCCTTCCCTGTTATCCCTGCTTGGTCCTCCAATTTTTGCACTAATCTCTTGTGTGGTACTGTGTCAAACGCCTTCTTGCAGTCCAGAAAATGCAATCCCCCCACCCCTCTCTCTCTTGTCTTACTGCTGTTACCTTGTCATAGAACTCCAGTGGGTTTTGTGACACAGGATTTCCCGTCCCTGAAACCATGTTGGGTGCTGTTGATGAGATCATTCCTTTCTAGGTGTTCCACCACTCTTCTCCTGACAATCTTCTCCATGACTTGCATACTATACATGTCAGTGACACTGGTCTGTAGTTTAGTGCTTCATGTCTGTCTCCTTTTTAAAGATTGGGACTACATTTGCTGTCTTCCATGCCTCAGGCAATCTCCCTGTTTCGATAGATGTATTGAATATTGTTGTTAAGGGTACACATAGCGCCTCTGCTCCCTCTCTCAGGACCCATGGAGAGATGTTATCTGGCCCCATTGCCTTTGAGGTATCTAGCTCACTCAGAAGCCTCTTCACTTCTTCCTCGGTTGTGTGCACTGTGTCCAGCACATGGTGGTGTGCCCCACCTCTCCGTCTTTCTGGAGCCCCTTCTGTCTCCTCTGTGAACACTTCTTTGAATCTCTTGTTGAGTTCCTCACATACTTCACGGTCATTTCTTGTTGTCTCTCCTCCTTCCTTCCTTAGCCTGTGTGTGTGTGTGTGTGTACTCACCTAATTGTGGTTGCAGGGGTCGAGACTCAGCTCCTGGCCCGCCTCTTCACTGATCGTGTGTGGTGTGGTGTGTGTGTGTGTGTGTGTGTGTGTGTGGTGTGTGTGTGTGTGTATGTGTGTGTGTGTGTGTGTGTGTGTGTGTGTGTGTGTGTGTGTGTGTGTGTGTGTGTGTGTGTGTGTGTGTGTGTGTGTGTGTGTGTGTGTGACCTATAAAGGTCATACAGAGCCTTGGGAACGGAGAGGTAATCAGGTTTGATCGGAGAAGAGGAAGTCAACTCCTGACGTTTAGATTACTTTGCCAGTCTCAGTTTCTCGCGACACTCCCTATCCTACATTGATTTCTCTCATCAGATTTCTTTACCCAAATAATATTGACTCAGTTTCATTAACCCTTAACTACTATTAACCATTATCAACCCTTTATTAAACCATTTATGAATAATTTATTAACCATTTGTTAACCATTATTAC